GGGTTGATATCACGCCAGACCTGTCTCCTGCAGCACATATCAAGCGGATAACATCAGCGGCATATGCCAGGCTGGCCAACATACGAACGGCATTCAGAAACTTGTGTAAAGAATCATTCAGAACTTTGTATACCACATATGTCAGGCCAATCCTGGAGTATGCAGCCCCAGCATGGAGTCCATATCTAGTCAAGGATAAGACTAAACTGGAAAAGGTTCAAAGGTTTGCCACCAGACTAGTACCCAAGCTGAGAGGTATGAGCTACGAGGAGAGACTACGGGAATTAAACCTCACTTCGCTGGAAGACAGAACAGTTAGGGGGACATGATCACTACATTCAAGATTCTGAAGGGAATTGATAGGGTAGATAAAGACAGTCTATTTGATGAAATGAGCCACAGTGATATTAGAAAGAACGTTTTTAGTGTCAGAGTGGTTGACAAATGGAATGCATTAGGAAGTGATGTGGAGAAGGCTGACTCCATACACAGTTTCAAGTGTAGATATGATAGAGCCCAATAGGCTCAGGATTCTGTACACCTGTTGATTGACGGTTGAGAAGCGGGACCAAAGAGCCAGAGCTCAACCCCCGCAAACACAAATAGGTGAGTACACACACACACACACACACACACACACACACACACACACACACACACACACACACACACACACACACACACACACACACACACACACACACACACACACACACACACACACACACACACACACACACACACACACACACACACACACACACACACACACACACGCACACACACACACACACACACACACACACACACACACACACACACACACACACACACACACACACACACACACACACACACACACACACACACACACACACACACACACACACACACACACACACACACACACACACACACACACACACACACACACACACACACACACACACACACACACACACACACACACACACACACACATAAAGCAAATGAGCTTGGAGAACTGGTACTAGAGGAAAACCCAGACATAATAGCCCTCACAGAAACAAAGATCACGAAAACAATAACAAATGCAGTGTTTCCACAGGACTATTATGTTATGCGGAAAGAGAGGGAAGGAAGAGGTGGGGGTGGTGTAGCTCTGCTGGTAAGAAAAGGCTGGGACTTTGAGGAGATGGATATTCAGGGCTGTGAAGGTTTCAGTGACTACATAGCAGGTACTGTAACAAATGGAGGGAAAAAAATTATAGTCGCAGTCATATATAATCCACCACCAAATGACAGAAGACCTAGACAGGAATATGATAGAAACAACATGGCCACCATTAACATAATAGAAAGAGCAGCTTCTGTTGCTAGCAGGAATGGATCTGGACTACTAATTATGGGAGACTTCAACCATGGGAAGATAGATTGGAAGAACAGAGACCCGCATGGAGGACCAGAAACATGGAGAGCTAAGCTGCTGGACGTGGCAACAAGAAACTTTCCAAGCCAGCATACCAAAGAGCCAACAAGAATGAGAGGAGAAGATGAACCAGCAATGCTTGATTTGATATTTACCCTAAATGAATGGGATATAAGGGAAGTTAAGATGGAAGCGCCCTTGGGAATGAGTGACCACAGTGTATTGAACTTTGAGTACCTGGTAGAGCTAGGACTTATCTCCCCCCAAAAAGAACTAGAAATCAAAAGGCTGGCATACCGAAAGGGGAATTATGAACAGATGAGAAGTTTCCTAAGTGAAATACCTTGGGACACAGACCTCAGAGACAAGTCTGTACAGGGTATGATGGACTATGTTACCCAAAAGTGTCAGGAGGCAGTAAACAGGTTCATCCCGGCCCAAAGGGAAAAATCCGAGAAGCAACAGAAGAATCCATGGTATAATAGGGCATGTATGGAAGCGAAGAAACTGAACAAAAAGGCGTGGAGGAACTTCCGGAATAACAGAACACCAGAAAGCAGGGAGAGATACCAGAGAACCAGGAATGAGTACGTCAGGGTGAGAAGAGAAGCAGAGAAAAATTTTGAAAATGATATAGCAAACAAAGCCAAGACCGAACCAAAGCTACTCCACAGTCACATCAGAAGGAAAACAACAGTGAAAGAACAGGTATTGAAACTTAGAACAGGCGAGGACAGGTATACAGAGAATGACAGAGAGGTGTGTGAGGAACTCAACAAGAGGTTCCAGGAGGTCTTCACAATAGAACAGGGTGAGGTCACTGTGCTAGGAGAAAGGGAGGTAAACCAGGCGGCCTTGGAGGAGTTCGAAATTACGAGAGAGGAGGTCAAGAGACACCTGCTGGATCTGGATGTTAGAAAGGCGGTTGGTCCAGATGGGATCTCACCATGGGTACTGAAAGAGTGTGCAGAGGCACTTTGCTTGCCACTCTCCATAGTGTATAGTAAATCACTAGAGACGGGAGACCTACCAGAAATATGGAAGACGGCGAATGTGGTCCCAATATACAAAAAGGGCGACAGACAAGAGGCACTGAACTACTGGCCAGTGTCCTTGACTTGTATACCATGCAAGGTGATGGAGAAGATCGTGAGAAAAAACCTGGTGACACATCTGGAGAGAAGGGACTTCGTGACAAATCGCCAACATGGATTCAGGGAGGGTAAATCTTGCCTTACAAGCTTGATAGAATTCTACGATCAGGTGACACAGATTAAGCAAGAAAGAGAGGGCTGGGCGGACTGCATTTTCTTGGATTGTCGGAAAGCCTTTGACACAGTACCGCATAAGAGGCTGGTACATAAGCTGGAGAGACAGGCAGGTGTAGCTGGTAAGGTGCTCCAGTGGATAAGGGAGTATCTAAGCAATAGGAAGCAGAGAGTTACGGTGAGGGGTGAGACCTCCGATTGGCGTGAAGTCACCAGTGGAGTCCCACAGGGCTCTGTACTCGGTCCTATCTTGTTTCTGATATATGTAAATGATCTCCCGGAGGGTATCGATTCATTTCTCTCAATGTTTGCGGACGATGCTAAAATTATGAGAAGGATTAAAACAGAAGAGGACTGTTTGAGGCTTCAAGAAGACCTAGACAAGCTGAAGGAATGGTCGAACAAATGGTTGTTAGAGTTTAACCCAACCAAATGTAATGTAATGAAGATAGGTGTAGGGAGCAGGAGGCCAGATACAAGGTATCATCTGGGAGAGGAAATTCTTCAGGAGTCAGAGAAGGAAAAAGACTTGGGGGTTGATATCACGCCAGACCTGTCTCCTGCAGCACATATCAAGCGGATAACATCAGCGGCATATGCCAGGCTGGCCAACATACGAACGGCATTCAGAAACTTGTGTAAAGAATCATTCAGAACTTTGTATACCACATATGTCAGGCCAATCCTGGAGTATGCAGCCCCAGCATGGAGTCCATATCTAGTCAAGGATAAGACTAAACTGGAAAAGGTTCAAAGGTTTGCCACCAGACTAGTCCCCGAGCTGAGAGGTATGAGCTACGAGGAGAGACTACGGGAATTAAACCTCACTTCGCTGGAAGACAGAAGAGTTAGGGGGGACATGATCACCACATTCAAGATTCTGAAGGGGATTGATAGGGTAGATAAAGACAGTCTATTTAACACAAGGGGAACACGCACAAGGGGACACAGGTGGAAACTGAGTGCCCAAATGCGCCACAGAGATATTAGAAAGAACTTTTTTAGTGTCAGAGTGGTTGACAAATGGAATGCATTAGGGGGTGATGTGGTGGAGGCTCACTCCATACACAGTTTCAAGTGTAGATATGACAGAGCCCAATAGGCTCAGGAATCTGTACACCTGTTGATTGACGGTTGAGAGGCGGGACCAAAGAGCCAGAGCTCAACCCCCGCAAACACAACTAGGTGAGTACAACTAGGTGAGTACACACATATATATATATATATTTAATGTGTGTATATATGCAGGGAGCCTAGTAGCCTGGTGGAAAGCGCGCAAGACTCGTTATTCTGTGGTGCGGGTTCGATTCCCGCACGAGGCAGAAACAAATGGGCAATGTTTCTTTCACCCTGCATGCCCCTGTTACCTAGCAGTAAATATGTACCTGGGAGTTAGTCAGCTGTGAACGAAGGCACAGGGACTCCAAACCCGGAGATCGCCGTTATCGGGCCGAAGAAGGACCACTCCAGCAAGAGGAAGAACGACCCCAAACCTCCTGAAACAGAGCCTGGGCCGCACGACCCTCGGGAGGTGAACGTCCCGGCCCCGCACCTACAGGTTCCAGACAGAGATCGTCACAGCCCTCTTTCACCCGAGGCTGGCTTACCCAGCCACCTGGGCTGGACGGTAGAGCGACGGTCTCGCTTCATGCAGGTCGGCGTTCAATCCCCGACCGTCCAAGTGGTTGGGCACCATTCCTTCCCCCCTTCCCATCCCAAATCCTTATCCTGACCCCTTCCAAGTGCTATATAGTCGTAATGACTTGGCGCTTTCCCCCCTGATAGTTCTCTTCCCGAGGCCGGCTTCCTTTAAGACCAAGCAGAAGGAAGAGTGATAATTATTATTATAATAATTATTGTATTTAATAATTATCACTATATTCATATAGTGTTAATTGGAGTTCATTGACAAAAGTCGATGAATTTTTCTGGCTTCAAATTAAACCCAAGCCAGAAATGTAAAAATAAAGACAATTGGCCGTGGATTGGTTGGTCCTGAACCATCATTAGGTCGTGCTAATGGTCCAGGATGAACCCTAACATCATTATTGCCTTTGATTGTCAGGTTTGTGGTTTGGGTCTAAGTATCAGCCCAGTTATTGCCATTATTTGTTGCATATTCCAGATTGTATAACTTATAATAACGATTCAATTTTTTTATAGTTTAATGTAAATGGAAAAAGGTCCTTGATACATGTTATGAGCTGAGTACTGGGCACTGGGCACTGGGCACAAGGACAAGACTGCAAAGTCTCTATTTCATTGCCCAAACAACAACTGCAAGTTGCAACATCTGCCCAGCTTTGGGTTTGAACAAGCATATCTTATTGAACAAGTATATTTTATACTCTGGTATTGTGGACACAGCATTCTCTTAGTAACTTTGTGCTATAAACATAATAACTGGAGAAGGTTGCTTTTCTCATGCTTCAAGATTGTGTTTTGAAGATATATTGTGCATCTTTCTTGTTTGCAAGTTATCTCTGAACTTCTTGATCTGTGTGACGGTGTTGAATATTTTTGGGCAGTTCTTCTGTGAGGTTTTGTCAACGATCGAGCCATCTCCGGGGTGCAGGGGTGCCCCTATACTGAGCTTGTTCCAAAGGTGGATTGCAACAGTATTTTGAGGCCAAGTCCTAGAACTGCCACCACCAGATACGAAGAACTCTTCCCAGTGACTCCAGTGGATCGGGTAGAAGGTGGAGGGAGCTGCGGAAACATTACTACCATGAGCGGCCGGATATATTAGCAGTAAGACTGAACGGTAAACATGTACTATACCAAGTGTGCTATCAACTATTTCCCAACAACAGGGAAACCATTATTAATGTCTTGCATGACTATATGTCAGCGATGTTTGCATGCACTACGAGGTCCAAGCCCCATAGTGAATGAGAGTTACGGCCACTCACCCAATATTACGAGATCCTTGCACTTGTGAATGTCAGTAATGTTCTGGATGTTGCAAGCCTTCCTCACCACCCTCAGGAAGACCTCTGGACCGTTATAGGCCCAAACATTGCCCCGAAAGTGTTCCGTCAGCTCCCTGATGGCCTCTTCACACACCCAGTGATCCTTAGGGAGTCTGAGGAGATATTTCATGGATTTAAAACAGGAACCTGCAGAGTTCTGTGAAGATCTTCATAATTAATACCATTATATACACAAATTTACAGATTTGCATACCTCTAAATGTTAACAAGTGGCTCATCTTGATGACCAAACCACACACCAGAAGATGACGTTTCGGTCCGTCCTGAATCATTATCAAGTCGATCGTCACAACCAACTTGATAATGAACAAATCCACAAGTGCCGTGACGAGGATTCGAACCTGCGTCCGGGAGCATCCCAGACACTGCCTTAATCGATTGAGCTACGACAGGGTTATAAGAGTTGAAACCGAATTTCTACTGAACTTACTGGATCCTGTTGCCTCTCCGAGGCACAAACCAGGATTTTACACAACTCCCCCCCAGCACCCGAGCTATGTCAATAGCTCTCTTCTCCCTCTTCGCCCTTACATCATTACACACAGAGATCACACTAACGTGATGCATCAAATGAACAAATCCACAAGGGCCGTGATGAGGATTCGAACCTGCGTCCGGGAGCATCCCAGACACTGCCTTAATTGACTGAGCTACGACAGTAAGTTCAGTAGAACTTCGGTTTCAACTTTTATAACCCTGTCGTAGCTCAGTCGATTAAGGCAGTGTCTGGGATGCTCCTGGACGCAGGTTCAAATCATCGTCACGGCCCTTGTGGATTTGTTCATTTGATGCATCACGTTAGTGTGATCTCTATGTGTAACTTGATAATGGTCCAGGACGGACCGAAACGTCGTCATCTCCTCATCTTCTGGTGTGTGGTTTGCTAGTATAATCTTGCTAGTATTATATAAATATACACTTGTGTGATGTCCATGGAATGCGTGGTACTTTGAGGCTATAGGGGTAGTAACAGAAGGCTGACACCTTATATCATTTATTCCAACCATTAACCCTACAAAGAAATATTATAATATGTCGCAGCCGTTTTGATGTTATTATAACCTGGAGGGATGAACAACATAACTACTTATATCGAATACGAACTTGAAGGCACCATTGGAGAGGTAGTCCCAGCGTTCACGGCCAATCCATGACTCGCCGGAAGGCAAGGGTGCCATTGTCCACACGTCCAAGTCAAGGTAAATACCTCCCACAGAGCACACCACACCCAGACGTAGCGCATCCGACAAATTGATTCCAGCCCAGTCTGTTGAGACAGAGACGTGTAAAACTACTGCTAACTCTAGCGTAGTCTGTTGAGACAGAGACTTGTAAAACTACTGCTAACTCTAGCGTAGTCTGTTGAGACAGAGACGTGTAAAACTACTGCTAACTCAAGCGTAGTCTGTTGAGACAGAGACGTGTAAAACTACTGCTAACTCTAGCGTAGTCTGTTGAGACAGAGACGTGTAAAACTACTGCTAACTCAAGCGTAGTCTGTTGAGACAGAGACTTGTAAAACTACTGCTAACTCTAGCGTAGTCTGTTGAGACAGAGACGTGTAAAACTACTGCTAACTCAAGCGTAGTCTGTTGAGACAGAGACTTGTAAAACTACTGCTAACTCAAGCGTAGTCTGTTAAGACAGAGACTTGTAAAACTACTGCTAACTCAAGCGTAGTCTGTTGAGACAGACGTGTAAAACTACTGCTAACTCTAACGTAGTCTGCTGAGACAGAGACGTGTAAAACTACTGCTAACTCAAGCGTAGTCTGTTGAGACAGAGACTTGTAAAACTACAGCTAACTCAAGCGTAGTCTGTTAAGACAGAGACTTGTAAAACTACTGCTAACTCAAGCGTAGTCTGTTGAGACAGACGTGTAAAACTACTGCTAACTCTAACGTAGTCTGCTGAGACAGAGACGTGTAAAACTACTGCTAACTCAAGCGTAGTCTGTTGAGACAGAGACTTGTAAAACTACTGCTAACTCAAGCGTAGTCTGTTAAGACAGAGACTTGTAAAACTACTGCTAACTCAAGCGTAGTCTGTTGAGACAGACGTGTAAAACTACTGCTAACTCTAACGTAGTCTGCTGAGACAGAGACGTGTAAAACTACTGCTAACTCAAGCGTAGTCTGCTGAGACAGAGACGTGTAAAACTACTGCTAACTCAAGCGTAGTCTGTTGAGACAGAGACTTGTAAAACTACTGCTAACTCAAGCGTAGTCTGCTGAGACAGAGACGTGTAAAACTACTGCTAACTCAAGCGTAGTCTGTTGAGACAGAGACGTGTAAAACTACTGCTAACTCTAGCGTAGTCTGTTGAGACAGAGACGTGTAAAACTACTGCTAACTCAAGCGTAGTCTGCTGAGACAGAGACGTGTAAAACTACTGCTAACTCAAGCGTAGTCTGTTGAGACAGAGACGTGTAAAACTACTGCTAACTCAAGCGTAGTCTGTTGAGACAGAGACTTGTAAAACTACTGCTAACTCAAGCGTAGTCTGTTGAGACAGAGACTTGTAAAACTACTGCTAACTCAAGCGTAGTCTGCTGAGACAGAGACGTGTAAAACTACTGCTAACTCAAGCGTAGTCTGCTGAGACAGAGACGTGTAAAACTACTGCTAACTCAAGCGTAGTCTGTTGAGACAGAGACGTTTAAAACTACTGCTAACTCAAGCGTAGTCTGTTGAGACAGAGACGTATAAACTACTGCTAACTCTAGCGTAGTCTGTTGAGACAGAGACGTATAAACTACTGCTAACTCTAGCGTAGTCTGTTGAGACAGAGACGTGTAAAACTACTGCTAACTCTAGCGTAGTCTGTTGAGACAGACGTGTAAAACTACTGCTAACTCTAACGTAGTCTGCTGAAACAGACATACTTAATTCTAACAGGGAGAGGAAGCCTGTGTATATATACAGTATATACCGTAGGCTTGTATTGAGGTCCCTTCCCCAAGGTTGAATTACTGACTTGAGTCAGGATGCAACCCACAACAGTTGCATAACTCCCGGGAGCCTATTTACTGTTAGGAGAACAAGTGTTAAGTGAAAGGAAACGAACCCATTTCTGTCTCGCCTGGGAATTGAACCCAGGATCCCCTATTGTGGGTCTAGAACGAAGCCAGCTATACCACAACCCCCCCCCCCTTCCATACCTCCTTCCATCAAAAAACACACAATAGCCTGGGGTGTTGGCTATACATATGTAAAACTAATTGGTCTGTTGGAGATACATATGTAAGATTAATTGGTCTGTTGGAGATACTATGTAAGACTTGTTGGTTTGTTGGAGATATGTAAAATTAATGTTAAAAAGATGGTCAGAACTGAGGTTCTTATCTTTCAGAAATAAAGAGCTTACAGCCAATGTCATGGGAAATAAAACTATTAATGTTTATCCTCTACTGTTCTTATCTTCTATTATCTTCTACCTAGAAATTTCAGCAAGCATGTGGCATTCCTGATAGCTAAGATTTGTTGGGAATAAGATATGCATGTGCTTTGTTTTGACAAACATAAATACTGCAAAATAAGCATATACACCATGTTCAAAATAAGTAATATAAGCATATACACTATGTTCAAAATGTGTAATATACTGTACAAATAGAGTATAAGGGTAAGCTGTAATATCACCTCATACCTGATCCATTACCTCATACCTACACTACTGTATCACCGCCCCCTCATACCAACACCATCACAATGTTCAAGTATTTATTTACCACGTGCCCCACAAACTCAACATCCGAGTATCATTGCCATTCACCACACTCCTCGTCACCCTTCCACCTACCACTCCACGTCACCCTTCCACCTACCACTCCATGTCACCTTTCCACCTACTGCTCCAAGTCACCCTTCTACTTACTGCTCCAAGTCACCCTTCCACCTACCGCTCTTTGTCCACTCCATCCCTCGGAGCCACTTGCCGAGTCGTCCTGTACCCTCCATGATGTCGTCAACATCCAGCGTGGAGATGTGGATGTTGCTGTAGGAGGCGAGGGCGTGGATGATGGCATCTGTGCTCCCTACGTGGGTGGACGTGAGGGCTAGGTGGACCTGGTGGTCGGGGTGGTGGACCGCTGCGCTCTCTACTGCACATGCCTGTCAAGTTATTGAAGAAAATATTATTTACCACCTGTGAAGAGAGGGTAGACTGAATGCAAATGTTTGGGGGGATTAATTAGATTGGTAATACACGTGTTACTCGGTGAGTCATGTTGTGCATTGGAGGCAGGCCGCCGTTCTTTCAATTTGAAACTCCATAAAAAATCCAGCTGTTTTGCCTAACTTGAAGTGTGTGTGTGTGTGTGTGTGTGTGTGTGTGTGTGTGTGTGTGTGTGTGTGTGTGTGTGTGTGTGTGTGTGTGTGTGTGTGTGTGTGTCTGTGTGTGTGTGTGTCTGTGTGTCTGTGTGTATGTGTGTGTGTGTGTGTGTGTGTGTGTGTGTGTGTGTGTGTGTGTGTGTGTGTGTGTGTGTGTGTGTGTGTGTGTGTGTGTGTGTGTGTGTGTGTGTGTGTGTGTGTGTGTGTGTGTGTGTGTGTGTGTGTGTGTGTGTGTGTGTGTGTGTGTGTGTGTGTGTGTGTGTGTGTGTGTGTGTGTGTGTGTGTGTGTGTGTGTGTGTGTGTGTGTGTGTGTGTGTCTGTGTGTCTGTGTGTCTGTGTGTATGTGTGTGTGTGTGTGTGTGTGTGTGTGTGTGTGTGTGTGTGTGTGTGTGTGTGTGTGTGTGTGTGTGTGTGTGTGTGTCTGTGTGTATGTGTGTGTGTGTGTGTGTGTGTGTGTGTGTGTGTGTGTGTGTGTGTGTGTATGTGTGTGTGTGTGTGTGTGTGTGTGTGTGTGTGTGTGTGTGTGTCTGTGTGTCTGTGTGTGTGTGTGTGTGTGTGTGTGTGTGTGTGTGTGTGTGTGTGTGTGTGTGTGTGTGTGTGTGTGTGTGTGTGTATATGTGTGTGTGTGTGTGTGTGTGTGTACTCACCTAGTTGTGTTTGTGGGGGTTGAGCTCTGGCTCTTTGGTCCCGCCTCTCAACCGTCAATCAACAGGTGTACAGATTCCTGAGCCTATTGGGCTCTATTATATCTACACTTGAAACTGTGTATGGGGTCAGCCTCCACCACATCACCTCCTAATGCATTCCATTTGTCAACCACTCTGACACTAAAAAAGTTCTTTCAAATATCTCTGTGGCTCATTTGGGCGCTCAGTTTCCACCTGTGTCCCCTAGTGCGTGTGCACCTTGTGTTAAATAGCCTGTCCTTATCTACCCTATCATTTCCCTTGAGAATCTTGAATGTGGTGATCATGTCCCCCCTAACTCTTCTGTCTTCCAGCGATGTGAAGTTTAATTCCTGTTGTCTTTCCTCGTAGCTCATACCTCTCAGCTCGGGTACTAGTCTGGTGGCAAACCTTTGAACCTATTCAAGTTTAGTCTTATCCTTGACTAGATATGGACTCCATGCTGGGGCTGCATACTCCATGATTGGCCTGACATATGTGGTATAATTTGGCATCGTCCCCAAACATTGAGAGAAATGAATCTATACCCTCCGGGAGATCATTTACATATATCAGAAACAACATAGGACCGAGTACAGAGACCTGTGGGACTCCACTGGTGACTTCACGCCAATCGGAGGTCTCACCCCTCACTGTAACTCTCTGCTTCCTATTGCTTAGGTACTTCCTTATCCACTGGAGCACCTTACCAGCTACACCTGCCTGTCTCTCCAGCTTATGTACCAGCCTCTTATGCGGTACTGTGTCAAAGGCTTTCCGACAATCCAAGAAAATGCAGTCCGCCCAGCCCTCTCTTCCTTGCTTAATCTGTGTCACCTGGTCGTAGAATTCTATTAAGCCAGTCAGGCAAGATTTACCCTTCCTGAACCCATGTTGGCGATTTGTCACTAAGTCCCTTGTCTCTAGATGTGCTACCAGGTTTGTGTGTGTATGTGTGTGTGTGTGTGTGTGTGTGTGTGTGTGTGTGTGTGTGTGTGTGTGTGTGTGTGTGTGTGTGTGTGTGTGTGTGTGTGTGTGTGTGTGTGTGTGTGTGTGTGTGTACTCACCTATTTGTCCTCACCTATTTGTGCTTGCAGGATTGAGCATTGACTCTTGGATCCCGCCTTTCCAGCTATCGGTTGTTTACAGCAATGACTCCTGTCCCATTTCCCTATCATACCTAATTTAAAAAGTATGAATAGAGTTTGCTTCCACAACCTTTTCCCCAAGTGCATTCCATTTTTCCACTACTCTCACGCTGAAAGAAAACTTCCTAACATTTCTGTGACTCATCTGAGTTTCCAGTTTCCACCCATGTCCCCTCGTTCTGTTATTATTACGTGTGAACATTTCATCTATTTCCACTTTGTCAATTCCCCTGAGTATTTTATACTCAGGGGAATTGATACTCGTATGAATATACTCATTTTATACTCTGAGTGTGTGTGTGTGTGTGTGTGTGTGTGTGTGTGTGTGTGTGTGTGTGTGTGTGTGTGTGTGTGTGTGTGTGTGTGTGTGTGTGTGTGTGTGTGTGTGTGTGTGTGTGTGTGTGAACCCTAGCAACCCACTTCACTTGCTGTGAATAAGAAACGTCAATATTACGGTGCTTGCACTTTTAGCGAGACATTTTGAATGGACTGGTCGACTCTCTAAACAATGTGAGGTAATAAGTGAGAGGATGTGTTGGTGGTGCCTGGCGACCACCTCGACACAACGTTTGCCTTGGTGTGGAGAGGAACTTTGGGACACACTGTTGGGTCCACTAATTTGATGGGTAATCACATTAATACACCCTCAGCCTTCACTAAAGAGAATTTGATAAAGCATCTGAGAGAAGTAAACATATATACTGTAATTAGATTAGCTGAATTTTCAATGATAATGTTGTGTTGTTTTGCTATGGTAAAGCCACTTGAAAATACACAGATAATATTAAGATAAAAACAGGAAATTAAAGATAAGTGCAGATAACAACTTGTACAGAAAAATGATGATGTGATGACTTTATTAATAATTAGTTTGTTGACAAAATGATGAGGTTCGAAGGTGGTGTATAGACACAAACTTTATGTAACTGTCATGTTAGGTGCACTCATTTTAGTTCATCTATGACAGGAAGTGTCAAAGTGGATGGCAGCAAAGAGTTATGTGACCCACCAGGACATCTGCTCTTAACCCCTGGAAGATGAAACACACTTAGTCTGTCTAGTATTCTTTTGCCAGAAGAGAGACATCACTAGCGCCAAACTTGAGGCCCTCAGGGACCTCAAAGCCCATTATATTCCCTCCATCCTGAGGGGTATCTTCCACGAGGGGAACATGGCATGAGAGTATAACAAGGGCAGTGTAGGACAACACTTTTCTTACAACCAACACTTCTGCTCACGAAACATTTGACAGATATACTGTGATACAGTGGCCTGGCAGCTGAGTGGACAGCGCTTGGGATTCGTAGTCCTAAGGTTTCGGGTTCGATCCCCGATGGAGCCGGAAACAAATGGGCAGAGTTTCTTTCACCCTGATGCACCTGTTCGCATAGCCGTAAATAGGTTCCTGGAAGTTAGACAGCTGCTACGGGCTGCTTCATGGGGGTGTGTAACAAAAAGTAGGCCTGGTCGAGGACCGGGCCGTGGGGACGCTAAGCCCCGATATCATCTCAAGATATCCGAGAGTGCCATACTTGGAGTCGTTAACCTTTGGCCCCTAGAGGCACCTCAACACTTGGGCCCGCAGAGGCACCTCAACACTTGGGCCCGCAGAGGCACCTCAACACTTGGGCCCGCAGAGGCACCTCAACACTTGGCCCCTAGAGGCACCTCAACACTTGGGCCCGCAGAGGCACCTCAACACTTGGCCCCTAGAGGCACCTCAACACTTGGCCCCTAGAGGCACCTCAACACTTGGCCCCTAGAGGCACCTCAACACTTGGCCCCTAGAGGCACCTCAACACTTGGCCCCTAGAGGCACCTCAACACTTGGGCCCGCAGAGGCACCTCAACACTTGGCCCCTAGAGGCACCTCAACACTTGGCCCCTAGAGGCACCTCAACACTTGGCCCCTAGAGGCACCTCAACACTTGGTCCCTAGAGGCACCTCAACACTTGGCCCCTAGAGGCACCTCAACACTTGGCCCCTAGAGGCACCTCAACACTTGGCCCCTAGAGGCACCTCAACACTTGGCCCCTAGAGGCACCTCAACACTTGGCCCCTAGAGGCACCTCAACACTTGGCCCATAGAGGCACCTCAACACTTGGCCCCTAGAGGCACCTCAACACTTGGGCCCGCAGAGGCACCTCAACACTTGGGCCCTAGAGGCACCTCAACACTTGGCCCCTAGAGGCACCTCAACACTTGGCCCCTAGAGGCACCTCAACACTTGGCCCCTAGAGGCACCTCAACACTTGGGCCCGCAGAGGCACCTCAACACTTGGGCCCTAGAGGCACCTCAACACTTGGCCCCTAGAGGCACCTCAACACTTGGCCCCTAGAGGCACCTCAACACTTGGCCCCTAGAGGCACCTCAACACTTGGCCCCTAGAGGCACCTCAACAAGCCCAACACTTGGGCTTGTTATTATTATATCCACCCATTGTGGTATAAGTTGTAAACATCCCTTCCAACTATGTGCAGATAAATTCTGGCAGGCTGACTCTAATATACAGTCCACTTAGAATTAAATATTGAACAAAAAAAATAAATAAATACTCACTCAGAATAAAAACTGCCTGCTAGTATTATCCCACAACCAAACACCACCCATCCAACACCGCCGACCAGACACCAAATACCACCAACCAACATCACCAACCAATACCACCACCAGACACCAAACACCACCAACCAACACCACCACCAGACACCACCACATGGCAACCACACTACACCACCACCAGACACCATAACATGGCTGCCCCACCACCACCAACACCACCACCACCAGACACCACCACCAGACACCACCACATAACATGGCTACCACACCACACCACCACCAGACACCATAACATGGCTACCACCACACCACCACCAGACACCACCACATGACACCACCACCAACACCACCACCAGACACCACCACCAGGCAACCAACACCACCACCACCAGACACCAACACCAGACACCACCACCACCAGACACCACCAACACCACCACCACCACCACCACCAGACACCATACCATGGCCACCACACTACACCACCACCAGACCCACCAACACCACCACCAGACACCAAACACTACCACACCACACCACCACCAGACACCACCACCACCAACCACACTACACCACCACCAGACACCACCACATGACACCACCACCACCACACCACCACCACCAACCACACACCACCACCAGACACCAAACACCACCACCACCACCAGACACCATAACACCACTACACCACCAGACACCACCACCACCACCACACCAGACACCACCACCAGACACCACCACCAGACACCAACCACACCACCACCAGACACCACCACCAGACAGTCACTACCACCACCAGACACCATAACATGGCTGCCACCACACCACCACCACCACCAGACACCACCACCAGACACCACCACCAGACACCATAACATGGCACCACCAGACACCACCACCAGACACCACTAACACCAGACACCACCACCAGACACCACCACCAGACCCAGACACATGGCACCACACTACACCACCACCACACCACCACCAGACACCACCACCACTACACCACCCAGACACCATAACACCACACACCACCACCAGACACCATAACATGGCCACCACCCACCACCACACACCACCACCACCAACCAACACCACCACCAGACACCACCACCTGACAACCAACACCACCACCAGACACCATAACATGGCTACCACCACACCACCACCAGACACCATAACACCAGACCCCACCACACCACCACCAGACACCACCACCAGGCCACCACCAGACACCACCACCAGACACCACCACACCACCACCAACCAACACCACCACCAGACACCAAACACCACCACCACCAGACACCACCACCACACACACATGGCTACCACCACCCACCACCACACACCACCACACCACCACCACCAGACACCATAACACACCACCACTACACCACCACCACCAGACACCATACACACCACCACCCACCACCACCACCACCACCAGACACCATAACATGGCTGCCACCACCACACCACCACCAGACACCATACCACACCACCACCAGACACCATAACCAGACACCACCACCAGACACCATAACATGGCACCAACACCACCACCACCACCACCAGACACCACCACCAGACACCAACACCACCACCACCACCAGACACCATACCAGACACCACACCAACACCACCACCACCACCACCACCACATGGCCACCACCAGACACCACCACCAGACACCATAACACCACCACCACAGACACCACCACCAGACACCATAACATGGCACCACCACCACCAGACACCATAACACCACCACCACACCAGACACCACCACCAGACACCATACCAGACACCACCACCACCACCACCACCACCATAACAACCACCACCAGACACCATAACATGGCACCACCACCACCACCAGACACCATAACACCACCACCACCACCACCACCACCACACACCACCACCATGGCCACCACCACACCACCACCAGACACCACCACCACACCACCACCCCAACCACCATCAAACACCACCAACAGACACCACCACCAAACACCACCACCACCACCATCAAACACCACCATCAGACACCAATACCACCATCAAACACCACCACCAGACACCACCACCACACACCACCACCACCTACACCACCACCAAACACCACCACACACCACCACCAGACACCACCACCAGACACCACCACCAGACACCACCACCACACCACCACTAGACACCACCACCAGACACACACCACCACCACCACACCACCACCACCACCACCAGACACCAACCACCACCACCACCAGACACCACCACCACCAGAAACCACCACACACCACCACCAAACACCACCATAAGACACCACCACCATCACACACCACCACCAAACACCACCACACACCACCACCACACACAACCACACAGCACCACCACTACACACCACCACCACCAACTACTACACCACCACCAGACACCATACCACCACCACACCATAACCACCACCACCACCACATCACACCCACCATCCAGACACCACCACCAGACACCACCACCAGACACCACCACCACCACCACACCACCCACCACACCACCACCACCACACCCAACAGACACCACCACCAGACACCACCACCACCAACCACCCACCACACCACCACCAGACACCACCACCAGACACCACCACCACCACCACCACCAAACACCACCACCACCACCACCCACCACCACCACCACACCACCACCACCACCACACCAACTACACCACCACCAGACACCACCACCAGACACCACCACCAGACACCATACCACCACCACCACCAGACACCATAACACCACCACACCACCACCAGACACCATAACCACCACCACCACCAGACACCACCACCAGACACCACCACCACCACCCACCACCAGACACCACCACCAGACACCATACACCACCACCACCACCACCACCAGACCACCAAACACCACCACCAGACACCACCACCACCCACCACCATACACCACCACCACCAGACACCAACCACCACCACCACCAGACACCATAACACCAGACACACACACCACCACCACCAGACACCATAACCTGACCTCACACCACCACCAGACCAACACCACCACCACCAGACACCACCAGACACCACCACCACCACCATACCACCACCACACCACCACCACCACTGACACCACACCACACCACCACCACCACCATCACACCACCACCACTACCAACCACCACCACCACACAGACACCACCCACCACCAGACACCACCAACACCACCACCACCATACACCACACCACCACCACCACCAGACACCACCACCATGGCCACCACCACACCACCACCAGACACCACACCATGGCACCACCACACCACCACCACCACCACCACCACCACCACCAGACACCACCACCAGACACCACCACCACCAGACACCATACACCACCACCACCACCACCACCACCACCACCACCACACCACCACCAGACACCAACCACCACACCACCACCAGACACCACCACCACCACCCACACCACCACCACCACCAGACACCATAACACCACCACCACCACCACCACCAGACACCATAACACCACCACCACCACCACCACCAGACACCATAACACCACCACACACACACCACCACCAGACACCATAACATGGCACCACCACACCACCACCACCATAACACCACCACCACACCACCACCACCAGACACCATAACACCAGACCCACCACCACCACCAGACACCATAACATGGCAACCAACCACCACCACCACCAGACACCACAGACACCACCAACACCACCACCACCACCAGACACCACCAACCATGGCCACCACCAGACACCACCACCAGACACCATAACACTACCAACCACCACCACCACCACCACACCATAACACCACCACACACACACCACCACCACCAGACACCATAACACCACCAACCACCAGACACCACCACCAGACACCACCACATGGCTGCCAACACCACCACCACCAGACACCATAACATGGCACCAACCACACCACCACCAGACACCATAACACCACCAACCACCACCAGACACCACCACCACCCACCACCAGACACCAAACACTACCAACCACACCACCACCAGACACCAAACACACTACCAGACCAACCCACCACCACCCATACACCACCACCACACCACCACCACCAGACACCAACCAGACACCACCACCAGGCCACCACACCACCACCAGACACCATAACACCACCACCACACTACACCACCACCAGACACCACCACCATACACCCAACCACCACCACCACCAGACACCACCACCAGACACCAACACCACCACCAGACACCACCACCACCAGAACACCACCACCAGACACCATAACATGGCTACACCACACCACCACCAGACACCATAACATGGCTGCCACCACTACACCACCACCACCACACCATAACACACCACCACCACTACACCACCACCAGACACCAACCAACACAACCAACCCACTACACCACCACCAGACCCACCACCAACACCACCACCCACACTACACCACCACCAGACACCATAACCATGGCCACCTCCACACCACCACACCACCACCAGACACCAACCAACACCACCACCACACACCAACCACATCGTCTCCAGAAAGAAGATGTTCTTGTCGCTGGAAGAAGCTGTGAAATTGGGCAGCCTGACAGGGAAGGGCGGGGTGGTGGTGTTGGCCTGTAGGGTGCAGACCGCCGCCCGCCACCCACCCTTGCCCTCCCCGCCCTCCACGCCCATCACTGCGTCTGGAGCGAAGTGGTCTTCGTAGTCGGCCACCACCGCTGGAAGACTCAGGTAAGTCCTGCCGTCTGTCGTAAATAATGTATAGTTATAACAATACCAATTTCTGCATATAGTTCAGGCATGTGAACCGTAGACATTTTCAAGAGGAAACTAGATTTATTCCTCCAAGGAGTGCCGGACCAACCGGGCTGTGGTGGGTATGTGGGCCTGCGGGCCGCTCCAAGCAACAGCCTGGTGGACCAAACTCTCACAAGTCGAGCCTGGCCTCGGGCCGGGCTTGGGGAGTAGAAGAACTCCCAGAACCCCATCAACCAGGTATCAACCAGGAACCCATGACTGTGTGAGACTGAACTCATGTCCTGAGGACCTGCTAAAATTTGAACCAAGAGTAGGCCTATACAGCTTACTTATAAATCCATGAACCAAGAGTACGCCTATACTGCTTACTTTAGCAATCATTGAAGCAAGGTTAGGCCTAGACAGCTTACTTTAGCTGTCAATGAAGCAAGGGTAGGCCTATACAGCTTACTTATAAATCAATGAAAGGAGGGTAGGTCTATACAGCTTACTTTACCAATCAATAAGGCAAGGGTAGGCCTATATAGCTTACTTTTGCAATCACTGAAGCAAGGGTAGGCCTATACAGCTTACTTTAGCTATCAATGAAGCAAGGGTAGGCCTATATAGCTTACTTATAAATCAATGAAAGGAGGGTAGGCCTATATAGCTTACTTTTGCAATCACTGAAGCAAGGGTAGGCCTATACAGCTTACTTTAGCTATCAATGAAGCAAGGGTAGGCCTATATAGCTTCCTTAAGTTATCAATGAAACAAGGGTAGACCTAGACATCTTACTTTAGCTATCAATGAAGCAAGGGTAGGCCTATACAGCTTACTTTAGCTATCAATGAAGCAAGGGTAGGCCTATATAGCTTACTTTAGCTATCGATGAAACAAGGGTAGGCCTATATAGCTTACTTTAGCAATCAATGAAGGAAGGGTAGGCCTATACAGCTTACGTGTAAATCAATGAAGTAGGTTAGGCCTATACAGCCTACTTTAACTATCAATGAAGGCATATACAACTTACTTTAACCAATAATTTGATTCACACTGGGAGCCAAGATTCACACTGGGAGTCAAGATTCACACTGGGAGTCGAGATTCACACTGGGAGTCAAGATTCACACTGGTAACCAAGATTCACACTGGGAGTCAAGATTCACACTGGGAGCCAAGATTCACACTGGGAGCCAAGATTCACACTGGGAGTCAAGATTCACACTGGGAGCCAAGATTCACACTGGGAGCCAAGATTCACACTGGGAGTCAAGATTTACACTGGGAGCCAAGATTCACACTGGGAGCCAAGATTCACACTGGGAGCCAAGATTCACACTGGGAGCCAAGATTCACACTGGGAGCCAAGATTCACACTGGGAGCCAAGTATCAATAACTTTTTTCTAATCAAAGCCTATTGGAAAGCTTTCTAACTTTAGCCAAAAGCCGGAAGCTTAATCTGGCTTTATGAACTTTACCATGAGTCAAGATAAGTTACAATATTACTCAGGAACTTTACCATGAGTCAAGATAAGTTACAATATTACTCAGGAACTCATGTGTTCCAGTTATTACTCACCAGGTAACATGTTCACAGGACTCTGTGATGCTGAGACATACTCACATGAGTATGTCTGTCCCTGAGACATACTCACATGAGTATGTCTGTCACTGAGACATACTCACATGAGTATGTCTGTCACTGAGACATACTCACATGAGTATGTCTGTCACTGAGACATATTCTGGAGGCCACACTCACCATTCACGATCTGGATCACCAGCAGGAGAAGCACCAGGGCGACCAGATAGCCGCCCACCACCGCCCGCGAGTACACCCGCACCCGCACCATGCTGCACACGCTAATGTCACGCCCACAGCAACGCTCACCTCACCCGCCCTCCAAGTTCTGACGCTGGCCTCCCTGTGGGTTACTCCACTCGAGAATCGAGCGAAAATAAACCGGAGGGGACAATGCTCTGCGGTTCAAGTGGACCAGAGGGCTTATTCCTAGATCAGTAATTTTCAACGAGGTTTCTGCAAGAAATATATAGCAAAGTAACAAAATATGTAAATTTTTATCATTCAAATATAATTGTAATACAAAAAAATATCGCGAGCCCACTCTCACTGGTGATGCACTTCACGACACTGGAAGACAGAAGAGTAAAGGGAGACATGATCACTACCTACAAAATTCTCAGAGGACTTGACAAGGTAGATAAGGATTAGCTCTTTAACACGGGCGGGATACGAACAAGGGGACACAGGTGGAAACTGAGTACCCACAAGAGCCACAGGGATGTTAGATAGAACTTTTTCCGTGTCAAAGTAGTTAACATAATAATAATAATAATAATAATAATTTTTATTTAGGTAAGGTACATACAAAGAGATTTTACAAAGTTTGTTAGCTTTATAGATAGAGCTAGTACATACAATGCCCAAAGCCACTATTACGCAAAGCGTTTCGGGCAGGAAAAACATTAATGACTAAAGCTTAAAACTAATGGGTAAAAAGAAAAGATGTGATGAGTACATATAAAAAATAGAGGTAAAAGAGGGGGGAACATTGTTGAAAAAGCAGCACAAATACAATTACAAATTATTACAGAAAATTACATTCAAACAGCGTTGATTTGAAAAAACAAAAAAAAACAAAAAACATACATGGGTTGACAACAGAGGGGTAAGGTGGGTTACATGGAATTTATTAGGTATAGCTTCGTTTTTAACTTTAACTGGTTGAGAGAGGTACAGTCTTTAACATGGTTGGGAAGGTCATTCCACATTCTGGGCCCCTTGATTCGTAGAGCATTTCTGGTTTGATTTAGTCGTACTCTAGGAATATCAAAACTGTATTTATTTCTGGTGTGGTGCTCATGGGTTCTGTTACAACCTTCTATGAAGCTTTTGAGATCAGGATTGGCATTATAGTTTAGCGTTTTATATATGTATAATACACATGAGAGAATGTGCAGTGACTTAATGTCTAACATATTCAGAGATTTGAGTAGGGGTACCGAGTGATGTCTGGGGCCAGAATTGGATATTGTCCTAATAGCAGCTTTGTGTTGAGTAATTAGAGGACGTAAGTGATTTTGGGTAGTAGAGCCCCAAGCACAAATACCATAGTTGATATATGGATAGATAAGGGAGTAATAGAGAGTCACCAGGGCAGGGCGTGGTACATAATATCTGATCTTAGAAAGAATGCCCACAGTTTTTTAAACTTTTTTTGATATGTTTAGAATGTGTCCCTGGAAATTCAGCTTGTGGTCAATGAGAATGCCAAGGAATTTGCCATCTAATTTGTTACAAATTTGGGTATTGTTTATTTTGAGATTTATTTGATTAGAGGATTTATTGCCAAACAGATATAGAAAGTTTTGTCAATGTTAAGGGTGAGTTTGTTGGCAGTTAGCCACAGATGGACTTTATTAAGCTCAGTATTTACTGTGGCATTTAGAGCAAGGGTATCAGGACTGGAGTAAATGAAGGTTGTGTCATCAGCAAATAGAATTGGTTTGAGGTGTTGGGAGGCATTTGGAAGGTCATTAATGTAGATGAGAAAGAGGAGAGGGCCAAGTATGCTGCCCTGGGGAACACCAATGTTGTGTGGGTAGTGTGGGAGAAATTGTATTATTCACAGAAACACATTGGAGCCTGTCAGTAAGGTAGGATTTGAGGTATTGTAGGAGTGTCCTCTGACACCAGGGAGCCGGAGTGTCCTCTGACACCAGGGAGCCGGAGTGTCCTCTGACACCAGGGAGCCGGTCGACCGAGCGAGGGAGCCGGTCGGCCGAGCGGACAGCACGCTGGACTTGTGATCCTGTGGTTCCGGGTTCGATCCCGGCGCCGGCTAGAAACAATGGGCAAAAGTTTCTTTCACCCTATGCCCCCTGTTACCTAGCAGTAAAATAGGTACCTGGGTGTTAGTCAGCTGTCACGGGCTGCTTCCTGGGGGTGGAGGCCTGGTCGAGGACCGGGCCGCGGGGACACTAAAGCCTCGAAATCATTTCAAGATAACCTCAAGATAACCATAATGATGTAATTTAAGAAGAAGGTTTTGGTGGTTGACAGTATCGAAAGCTTTACGCAGGTCCACAAATAACCCAACAGGGAACTCATTTTGATCAAGATCTGTATGAATCGAGTTAGCATACTAATAAGTGCATCGTTAGTGCTTTTTTTTGGGCCTGAAGCCATATTGGCAAGGGCTAAGTATATTGAGTTTGGCTAGATATGAGTAAAGCTGCTTATAGATTAGTTTTTCAAAAATTTTTGACAAGTTTGGCAGGATTGATATAGGTCTGTAGTTGTTAACATCTGTGAGATCACCACATTTGTGGACAGGCGTTACTCTCGCTTTTTTTAGAATATCTGGAAAGGTTTGGAGTTCAAGTGACTTGTTGAAGAGCAAGCAATAGCAGGGGCTAAAGATCTGGAGGCTTTTTTTTGTAGATTAAAGTTGGTATCTCCTCAAGGGCACCAGACTTGGTTTTAAGGGAAAGGATTATCTCATTGACGTCAGTGGAATTAATAGGCTTTAGGTACAGAGACTGTGGATAGTTACCTGTAAGATAGTCCTTAATGTCAGTACTGGAAGATGGAATATCATTAGCATGGGATGAACCAATGGAAGAGAAGAACCTATTGAACTCAATAGCAGAATCAGAGGCTGAAAGCTGACCATCGTTATTAGACAGGAGAGTCGGTTTTGTTATTTAAAGACTTCTTTGAAGTTTGTTTAATGTTGCTCTTTATTTGGGTAAATTTATCTTTGTAGTATTTAGTTTTGGCTCGTCTAATTATCTTAGATAGCAATAATGAGTAATTCTTTGAGAATTCTTTGGAGACAATTCCTAACCTATACTTCTTCTCAAGGTCATGTTTTTTTATTAATAGATTTAAGTATTCCCTTTGTAAGCCAGGGATTGTTAAGCCTTTTGGTTGTGATTTGTTTTGTAAGCATAGACAGTGGGTATTATAAAGGCTAAGAGTTTTTTGAAGAAAAGTTTGAACTGCTAGGTTGATGTCCTCTATGTTACCTAACTCGGACTCCCAGTTGACATTATCAGTAGCAGTTATAAAATTGTCTATAGCAGTTTCATTGTGTAGTCTAAAACGTATCTCTCTTGACTCAAGAGGTGTTTGCTAATGTTAGTTAAGAGAAATGTGGGGTAATGGTCTGTAGTGCTATCGGTGATTATACCTGAAGTAAGCGGAGAGGTTATGTTTGTCCAGATGTGATCTAGAGTCGTGGCAGTGCTATCAGTGATTCTAGTAGGTCTAGTGATTAAGGGTATGAGGAAGCAGGAATTCATACAGTTGAGGAAGCTAACAGCAGTAGGGTGTTCTGGCTCGCAGAGGTCAATATTAAAGTCCCCTGCGATAATTAGGTGGTTTTTGTTCAGTCTGTTATCAAGTATTAGATTTCTAAGGTTTGAGTTGAATTCGGACACATCAGTGTTAGGAATTCTATAAACTGCACCCACAGACAGGACAGACTCGGCACCCTTGACTCTGAAACTGGCGAAGATATACTCCCCATAGCAGTCTCTAGTTCTAATTTCTTTTAAGCACGTTAGTTCTTGGTGGTAGTAAAGAGCAGTGCCACCACCTCTCTGAAGTTGACGACAGTTGTGAATTGCTGAGTAGTTAGGCATGTTAAAGAGTTGAGTAGTATCCTCTTTCAACCATGTTTCAGTAAGTATAATAAAAGAGAATTTGTTGTCAATAGCTTCAATCAAGGCACTAACATCATCGAAGTGTTTACC